CTAAAATTATGGTATGCGATGAGAAATGGGAACAAAACAAATAATAAATGAAAGTACTTCCGGCATCCAGCATACACTTCCCACTCGGACCACGGGTACTGAGGCTGCTTAGAACCTCAGAGCGCAAATGATAACCATATGGAACCAGTTGTCTTCGAAAGAGAGACTCATAAACCATCCCCGGGAGACATAGCAGATCCAAGACGGACCCCTGAAGGAGGATGAGGGGAGGGGCATTCCTCATTCTCAAGCAATGGCCGCGACTATACCCTTTTATTACAGCCCTATGACCTAAAATATCACCCCAAATCCACCAGCACCCCCAACCCAGCCAACCGGAAAGCACAGTTTCCGGATACGGCCGAGCCGCGTTTTAACAATTCCCTGGGCGGCATCAAGGCTAGAGTTGGAGGGGAGCTGTTTCGCTATTCGGTGGCGGCGCTTGAGGATAGAAAAGTGAGTGGTAAAATGATCGATATGGGCATGGCGATATTAAACAAGTCTTTTATTTTGAAAGCAAAAATAAGATAACAGTGTTACGTACAGAAGCAAGATCACTGGCGATGCCCCCTAGCGGGATTCGTGCAATCATGCGTTTTTGCAGTGTTTCGTGCTGTAATAAGATTACTGGAAATTCCGCTAGCTAGAAACCTCTTATACATACTGGTCCTCGAATTTCGGGAACTTAATTATCCACGCTGTAGTAGGACAGGGAACATTTCCTTGAAATCCCATGTTCCCAGGTTTCTCAGTTCCCGAGTTACCAATATTGCAGCTAAAAAATCCCACGGGGCCGTGCCTAGCCACCATGCATAACGGGGACTGAATTTGATAAATTGAAGTTGTAGACGAGTTAGGACCATTTCCTGAAAGTTTCAGCCTCCCAACTTCCCTGGTTCTGGAGTTATTCATTTTCCCACTAAAACTTTCACGGGGCCGTACGTGGCAACCACGCATGGCGGGGGCTGAATTTGATAAATTGAAGTTGTAGATGAGTTGGGAACATTCCCTGAAAATTTCAGTCTCCCAGCTTTCCTGGTTCTGGAGTTGTTGATTTTCCCGCCAAAAACTTTCACGGGGCCGTACGTGGCAACCACGCATGGCGGGGCTGAATTCGATAAATTGAAGTTGCAGATGAGTTGGGAACATTTCCTGAAACTTTTAGCCTCCCAGTTTTT